TCTTCCCCAAACTGTTGCCACAAAGTTGAAAGCACACAATTGTATAGAATGTCTCTATATGCTGTAGCATTACAATTTCCCTTCACTGGAACTAAGAGACCCAAACCTGTTCCAGCATGACAATGCCCCTGTGCACAAAGCGAGCTCCATGAAGACATGGTGTGTGAAGGTTGGAGTGGAAGAACTCGAGTGTCCTGCACAGAGCCCTGACCTCAACCCCACTGAACACCGACTGAACCCCAGACCTCCTCACCATCATCAGTGTCTGATCTCACTAATGCTCTTGTAGCTGAATGAACACAAATCCCCACAGCCACGCTCCAAAATCTAGTGGAAAGCCTTCCCAGAAGAGTGGAGCTTATTATAACAGCAAAAAGGAAATAAATCTGGAATGCAATGTTCAACAAGCACATATGGGTGTGATGGACAGGCGTCCACATACTTTTGGCCATATAGTGGTATTGGTGTATATGGTGATGTTACTAGGTTTGGTAAGTGTGTTAGAATAGGTAAATGACCAAATGTCGCTTGATTTCAGCCCTCATGGATCCCATCTTGGTGCCATTTATTCTTTATTTTCAGTTTTGTTCTTTTGGTTTTTAGACCCTTTAGGTCTCTACCTTGTAGTCTTGGCATTGGTTCGTTTCTCTCTTGTTTTCACCTGTCTCATGTTTTATCATAGTGCAGGAGTTCATACACTTTTTGGGCAAATGAACCCAAATGCACCCCAAGCCTTGACCACCCTACTTTTTTTTTATTCCAGATTTATAATTTAGGGCTACTGTGTTGTATTTGAATATTTTATCATATGTCAGTAACATACAGGTACGTGTGAGATAAGTGACAGCTAAAAAAGAGGAATATTCCTTGCACTGACTTACCAGTCTAGTGGAAAGCATGAGGTTGCATTTCTTGACACAGCTTTATGAAGTCAGGTTTGGTTGAAAGGGCATGTCTTATTTACTCTGTCATCTCCAGCTTCAACTGATACATGGATTAAATCCAGCTTCACACAGATATGAGGACAATCATTTACAGTGTACGCAAAGAAATATGTGCATGCTCTGTTTTTTTCAGTGCTCCAAATCTCCACCACACACAGACATTTTGGTTCCTCATCGTTATTTACCTCCACACTTGTAAATCCATATTCAATAAATGTTTCAGCATATTTTCATGTTGATTTTCTTGATTTCTGTTGTTCCACTCGGTCAGAGTCAATCGAAGTTGTCAGCAAGCTAGTGGAAGAAGATGGATGGAGAAATTTGTCCATTTTTATAGATAAACTCCTACACTAGTTCGGCATGTCAGGATAGCCAAATAGAGCAAAATAGCATGTACACTCTTATTATGTAAATGTGGCTTGTTTGACTGTGACTCCCAGTAACATTTCAAAATATTAACATGCAAAGCCCATCTTCATAGTTAGAGTGATAGTCATAATATTGGGCATTGTGATTTTCTCTCACATTTATAAAATCAAGCCGGCTGAGTTTGGGAACTCCTGCCTTACTTGCTGTTTGTATTTATACCCTGTGGTTTCCTTTTTTAGATGAAGTTGTTTCTTTGTGTCTTCTTGCCTCCGATTCTACACCATGTTCCATAACCATTCCTAGTTTTGACTTCTGTCTGTTCATTTCTTTTAATGCTGTCTGCCTGTTTGACTGATATTTTCTGCTAAATCCTTAATAAACAACACATGCACTTGTCTCCTGTCTTTAAATACCAGATCTGTACGTAGAGTAAAAATGAAGGTAATATCTGTGCTGAACGTATGTAATAAATTTTGTAAAGGAGGCTGTTTAAGTGGTAGACTATTAGTACACAGGAGTTTCAGTGAAACATCCTTCACTACCTGTTCAAAGTCTTTCTCAAGCTGTAGGAGGTGGAACCAGTCGATATTCATAATTCTGAGATGTTTAAAGCATTACATCTAAAAATTGTGAAAATTACCTTCGGTCCAATACATTATGTTTACCTAGAAATTGCTCTACAGATTGGAATATTGTTCTGGTACTCAATTTTGCTGGCTCTGTTGAATTCTCTGACAATCTTAAACGTAGCTATTCTAAACACCATGTAATATTACAAACTGACAGAAGTTGGAAAGGAAGAAAAATACAAAAAGGTTATTTTCGTTTCTGTATCTCTTTATGTTATTCATCAAAAGGCATCTCCTGTCATTGATTTCAATAAGAACACTGTGCTGACTTTACGTAATAATTATGCTTTGGTGACCAGAGTCAAACGCTTGAAAAGAACATACTGTCACATGACCATGCGTCAGCCAATAGGAGACAATCTGGAGCAAGGCTTTAAGAGAAACTGATGGTAATCGGTGCTCACATCCAGAGATCTAACCCTCCAAATCTACAAGGGCACCTCACATTAAACCTTGACCTGATAATATCACTGTGTATGCACAGTAACACACATACACACACACATATGTTTTATCTTAAAAGGGGAAAAATAAAAAAGTAAAGCCTAGTACAGCCTAAATAAATTTCCCGATTTTTCAGTCCGACTAATTTTGGGGCTTGGTGACTGCTTGTGTAGTGTGAGTGGTTCAGTGACACCATTTTCTCACTCTGTGAGGCTCAGATATTTTCAAGCATGTTTGAAATCACGTAGTGTGAACTGCTTTGTGACTAGCAGCAAGACCAGTGCTGAGAAACAGCCAACAAGAGTCCAAGAGGAAATCACATGCGGCAGATCACCGAATCCAGGTAATCATCCATCTGTATTTGTGTGGCAGACCGAGGGCAAAACGTGAGCACAATAATAATGCAATTATATGAAATTTATTTGGCATGTCATACCCAAATGATAGCAAAAATAAAAACACAAATTACATGATTCCTAAGAATTTTTGCACTGTACCTCCAGTTCTCTTCGCAGAACAGACAATCCTTGCTGCCCCAACTGAATCTGCCCATCCAATCCATCCTCTGCATTTTTATTTCATTTCTCTTTTCTCTTGTTTCCAAACAAAATAGTGACATTTCCATCCACAAAACAACAGATTGCAAGTGATAAAATTGCGTTCTATGTGTCAGTCAGTGATTCTGAGATTTTAAAAGTTGTGTAGTGTCCACTCAGATTAAAAGGACTATAGCTAGCTATGATGAAATGCTAAAAATATCTTGTGATAAATAATGCTAAAACTCTTAGTTCTAGATTTTATGCTTCAGTTTTTTTGTTTTTTTTTTTGCTTGAAAATACCATTTACAAGTTTCATTTTATTTGTGAAATTAATCTTTGTAATCTAGCATAGTAGGCTTTTTTTATAATTACTTGGCTGATAGATACACCTGTATTTTTTATTATCTTATCCATGCAAGTTCTGTTTTTCATTCTGATTTTAATTAAGTAGACCGTTAAAAAAAGAACAAGTCAAATCAGTCTGTTTTCTGATCCCATAAAATGTCCTCAGCCCAATGCAGTCACTTACTGTGTAATATATTTAACGATACTTTTATTTTAATTATTTTGGAACGACCAGTTCCTGATACATCTTTCCCTCCTCAGAAAAATGATAAATTTCCTTCTCATGTTACAGCATGACCCTGGATCCTAGATAAAATGACTCATTGCATAATAATCCGGCAACAATCTTGAAAACATCGGAGCTGTCATGACGCTGTTAGTTTAATGTGTTTATGATAACACGAGTGGTTCTGGATTCATGTGTGTGTGTGTGTGTGTGTGTGTGTGCATGAAGCATACGCTGGTGGAACGTTGTGGAACGTTGGTTTGGATGGAGATGCGGCTGCTGAATGAGGTGTGTCCATGCACTGCGATTGAACTGTAGTTATGTTTAGCTTCATTTTCTCACATTTCAGTTCCTCCTCTGTTCCTCCACAGCACTCGCCCACACACACGCTATTTCTAGAAGTGTGAAAGAGAGAGAGAGAGATTGGAGATTGAAGATTGATGAAAGATTATTTCAGTCTGAGATTTCACCGTTCAGAGCTCAGTTACAAGGTCAGGAGGTTGGAGTTGTGGGAAAGTGATAGCTAACGTTTGTACTTTAGAACTGCTTGAATGAAATCATCCTCCTCTGGCTGTTTCAATCGGAGGTCAGTTACAGGTGCACGGTTCCTCAACAACAAAGAAGAGGATGCTGATTGATTCATGCTGCCACACACCTCTCCATCTAGATGCTGCAATCTCTAATTTATAGGAACTGTCACAAGCTGACTTGTATGTAATGTTAACATTGAGTAAGGCTGAAGGGTGAAGGTCAGGGGTTAGCACCTATTGCATTCTCACCTGATATGACCTGCTACAGAATGGTGTGTGTGTGTGTGTGTGTGTGTTTATGCCTAGTGAATGTATCAGTGAAGAGAATTTAAAACCCTTAAGAACCCTTTTTTGTATTTTCTCTGGGGAAACTAAAGATTCATGGACCATAAAAAAAATTCTGAGAATGTCACCAAAATTTGATAAATATGAAAGGTTGTGCTCATTTTTCATGAAATTTAGAACGTGTAAGAACTCTTCTTTGGTTTGTTCTTCTTGGGAAACCCTTAAAGTAACTTTTTTTTATTAGAAGGCATTTAAAATACAACCCGTTTTTGGAAGCTAAGCCATTAATTATCAAACATATCCATAAAGAACTGATGAACAACTTTTGGCTTTTTTTTTTTTTTTTCAGGTGAACATGTTAACTGGATCCATTTTTTAGACCACATCTATGGAAAATGGAAAATTCCTAAAGCAGCATGAGAAATGCTCAAAAATTTAAATAAAACTATGAACCCCTCAATCATTCAATGAACCTTTAAACAACCCTTTTCACTAAGCGTTGTTGTTGCTGTTCTTTCAGCTGCTTCCATTAGGGGTCGCCACAGCCGATCACCTTCCATTGTCTGCATATTGATTTGGCACAGGCTTTAGGCAGGATGCTCTTCCTGACGCAACCCTCCCCATTTATCCGGGTTTGGGACTGGCACTGAGAGTGCAGTAGCCTGTGCATGCCAGTGGTTGGGGTTCGGCACCCAGCGTGGGGCTCAATCCCACAAGCCTGAGATCAAGAGTCCTATGTTCTACCAACTGAGTTAGCCACTTTTCACTAAGTGTATGTGTATGTATTAACAGCGATCCCATTTTTGGAACCTGAGAACCCATAATTATATAACAAACCCTTTAAAAACCCTTTTTAAAGAGTGTATGTATTAACAGGGATCCCTTTTTGTAGACCACGTCTACTGTACAGTATGTGAAAATTGTGAGGATGTAGCCAAAAACTGCCCATTAATAACCGGTCTTTGGTTGGTCCCTCTGGGAAAACCGTTAAAAGTTCTCAATTTCTGGAAGCTAAGAACCATTAATTATCCAATAAACCCTTACAGAACTTCTAAATAATCCCCTAAACCCCAGACCCGCCCTGCCCCGTGTGTATATGTATTAACTGGGATCCTATTTGGAAGCTAAGAACTCTTAATTATCCAGTGAACCATTAAAGAACTAATTTTGTTCGTCTACAGAAAATTCTGTTCTTCCTATCAAAATGTTTTCCAAGTAGCACAATTTTTTTAAAGCAAAAACCCTCAAATATCCACCAAACACTCAAAGAACCATTGAACAACTGTTTTTTTAGACCACATCTATGGAAAAATGGAATATTGTTAATGTGTCACCAAAATTTCCTTCTATCTGCTGCAAGTTGTGGTCATTTTTTTGTGAAATTGAAAACCCTTAGGAACCTTTGTTTGATTTGTCCCCCTGGCAAAACCTTTAAATGTTCTCCCTACCAGTAGACCTTCCAGGTAGAACAATTTTTGGACCCTGTGAAGCCCTTATTATCCAGTAAACTTTTAAAGAACCTTTTTTCTTGTATGTATATGTATCAACTGGGATTTCATTTTTGAAACCTAAGATCCCTTGAAGAACTCTTTTTTTTCTTTGAACTGATCTATAGGAAGTGGAAATTTTAAAGGATGTCACCCAGAAAGTTTCTCCCTATTCAAAAGCCTTCCATGTAGAACCCTTTGGGAAACCTTTTTCTAAGAGTGCATGTATAAACTGGATCCATTTTTAAACCACATCTAAGGAAAACTGAAAAAATCCTTCTATTGGCTGTGATCAGTGTTTGGTTGTGGTCATTTTTCATGAAATTTAGATCCCTTAGCAACTCGTCTTTAGTTTGTCCCTCTTGGCAAACTCTTAAAGGTTCTTCCTACGAGTAGGCCTTCCGAGTAGAACCCTTTCTGGAAGCTAAGAACCTTTCGTTATCCAAGGAACTCTTAAAGAACTCTTGAAGGACACTTTGTTCTAAGACTCCATAGAGCAGATCTATGGAAAATGGAAAAGGCCAAGGATGTCACCAAAAACTGTAGTTTCTTATTGGAATTTAGAGATCCATTTTTTGCAAGATAAGAACTCTTAATTATCATATAAGCTTATAATCTTAGGAAAAAAAGATCTTTATGTATTACCTGGGTAAGTGTGAGTTACAAACACCAAATTATTGCTCATTATTTTCTTCTTAATACCTAGAACCTGTCAGGAGTTTAACATTTACCTCTTCATACTTAGCAGATTCTTAGTAAATAAAGATTCGTCAAGCCTCTTTGGATAATTAAGGCTCCTTAGTCTCCTTAAAAGGTTATAACTGGAATATCTTCTGTTAGGACAACACTCTATTGTAGGGTTCTACATAGAACCTTTAAGGAAGAACAACAAAAGAACCCTTTAGGGTTTTTCTAAAAGTGTAAGATAGTATATTTCTCTTCACATTCATGCAGCTTCAATAAAAAAATTATCTGCTCAAAGACAGAAGCTCTGGTCTCAGTGGCACAGACCGCTCCCAGACCGTAAACAGGATAAACAACACGTGCACTTTAAAAAAATAAAAATAAAGATGACAGAAATGAAACACTGAAGAACTATTTTAGTTCAAATAAAACATTTTCCTATCATAAATGTCAACATTATGTGTAAGGATCTATGTGATGGAAAACTAGGATTCAGTTTATTATGGCAATAAAAATGGGTTAAGGGGTCATGAAAAGACCAGGTGGTTCTTTTGAGAACCAAAAATGGTTCTTTGGTGATATAGCGCTTTTCTGGAACTAACATCCCAAATTGTGTAATCGTTGATTGAGTGAAGGATTTTCTCTAAGGAGATTAACATTTATGGAAGGAGTCTTCAGTGTCAGCACTTTAACTGTAATTTTCAGGTTGGAGTTTATTGGAAAACAATCTATGTGCTTCATCACACCACCATGTCGTTGATGATTTTCTTATACAGTAAAAGGACATCTCGCATTGTTTTATTTGTTCCATGGAGAAACTCTATCACAAGTCTGAATCCAGTAAAGGAGTTGACTGCTAGAGGATTATTCCCTCCATGCAGTGAAGGAGGATATGGTATTGTCTCTCACCTCTAATGACAGTGTTACAATGAAGTGATAATACATGCATGCAGTGTAATACACATATTCTACCGGGACCATCTGATACAACTGCTGTTAGAGCAAAGTCAAGAACAGACCCTTTCTTCTCTCAATACAAAAACAATTATGCGACTCACATCATCGTGTTTGGATTGACTTATTGGCTCTATTTTCTGCTGGGCAGAATCATAAATATAAATGACTATAAATAAAAAGAAACTCTAATGCATGATTAATGACGGTTTAAATTACATAAGTGTGGCTCATGCACCGAGTCAATACGGATATTACACATTGATAATAGTATGGAGCTTCATATAATCATTCATTTTTTGCAGATTGTGGCCCTCTGTTAACAGAAAAAGACTGATGAAGAAGGACATAAGCATTTATGCAAGATTTGCTTTGGTGTTAAATTGTGTTTTATGCATGCGTAACCACTTTTCACTGCAAAGAAATGACATCTTAGCAAGTGAAAATACACTATATGACCAAAAGTATGTGCACCCCTGACCATCACACCCATATGTGGTTCTTCACCAAACTGTTGCCACAAAGTTGGAAGCACATAATTGTATAGAATGTCTTTGTATGCTGTAGCATTACAATTTCCCTTCACTGGAACTAAGAGGCACAAGCCTGTTCCAGCATGACAATGCCCCTGTGCACAAAGCGAGCTCCATGAAGACATGGTGTGTGAAGGTTGGAGTGGAAGAACTCGAGTGTCCTGCACAGAGCCCTGACCTCAACCCCACTGAATACCTTTGGGATGAACTGGAACACTGACTGCACCCCAGACCTCCTCACCCAACATCAGCGCCTGATCTCACTAATGCTCTTGTAGCTGAATGAACACAAATCCCCACAGCCACGCTCCAAAATCTAGTGGAAAGCCTTCCCAGAAGAGTGGAGCTTATCTGCAATGGGATGTTCAACAAGCACATAAGGGTGTGAGAGTCAAGTCATAAGGGTGGTCATATAGTGTATCATGAAGACAGTCAAATTTATCAAGTATTTCGTATTCTAAGTCTACAATAAACCAAATATATGATTATTAAACCTATTTCTAGATATTATTACCAATTTCTAAATTTGGTTATTTAAATTGCTTATTTTATTTGCAGATAATTTTGTTAATGTTCAGCATTTATTTCTAGAAAAACCCACAAAAATTATCCACTGACAGAATAAAACAATTTCAAGCTTGAAATGAGTAGAAATGTCTTGAAATTCCTTTTTGCAGTAATTTGTTTCCACTCTCGTTTCTGACAAATCCTGCCTTGTGCGCTAGGATCGGCTGATTAAAGGCCAGATTTTGTAAAAGATATATGGTTTAATCACCATATCGATGATTACTGATGATCAGTGATGTTTTTTAATCCGTTTATGTGGAGAATCTGCCACACAATTCCCTGTGATTGAGCTGTTACTATAGAGCTGAGCTGCTGTTATAGAAAATTAATCAACACCTTCTGACCAGAAGCCAGAATTCAACATTGCTGTTATATAAATATATAACATTATGCCATTAAGCTATAGCTGTTTCTGCTTAGCTAGCTTGCTTGTTTTTAACAGGAACATCAATCAGATTCTACTGTCTGTAGCATGAAAAATGGTGTGCAGTTGATGCTGGTACAGAAGCTTTACTCAATTATCCTCTTTTAAACACTTGAGTGAATATCTCAGGGGTGTTACCTGTCCTCTGATGAGACCTCATCCTTCTCCAGCGGTGTCTAACTCTGACAGAGCAGTTGGTCATTATTTTTTTATGTAAAATGACACCATAACGCTGCTTGGTGAATCATAGAGCTTCTACATGTGGCTTCCTGGATCATTAGAAGATCATTCCCTTTTCCACATCCTTAATCCTATTTGGCAGATGAGTTCCTTCCTTAATTCAATTTGTCACTGATCACAGACTGAAATAGAGAGCTATTTAACTGATCTTAAAAACACTTGACATAGAATTAATAATGCTTTTTAAAAAAAAATATTTAACAGCTTTTTTTGTAACAATCAGAAGTAAAGCTGTAAGTTTACGTTTTTGTTGGTAACATGACAAGCTGTGTATTTGCTCTTATTAACTTCAAGAGAGAGAAAAAAAAGAGAGGCTGGTGAGGGAACTGCTGTTTAAAGCTGCTATTACGTAAGTGAGAACAGGAACTAACTTGTGTCATGGTCATTCAACAACTTTAAATGTAACTATAAACAGATAAAAAGTATGATGAAGTCAGAACAAGAAATATTATCATGGTCCAGCACTTAAATGTTTCTTGCTTCATTTTAGAGTGTTACAACCCGGAACTGAAGTAGACTTAACTGGGATATTTACCATTTGATTGTGAAAAATATTTTACTGTGACACAAATGCATATTTAAAAAAGCAGGCATTTGGTAGAACATCTGGATCCTGATATTTTTTGCACATATGTTTAGGGATAATTGCTCAAGCTCTGTCAGATTGGATTTAGAATGTTGTTTGTGAACTGCAATCTATTTTTACATCTTGCCACAGTTTCTCAATCAGATTGAGGTCTGGGCTTTGCCTGAGCCAGTCTAACACATTCAGGTTCTTGATTTGAAACCACTCCAGTGGAGCTTTGGTGGGTCATTCTCCTGTTGGAAGCTGACACTCTGCTCCAGTCTCAAATCTCTTACAGACTGCAACAG